AGGATCTACATATAACCTCCTCCCTGGGAGACGGACAACAGAAAAGTGGGTGAAGGGAGTTGTTGGACAGTGCAAGATGTGACAAAAATAATTTATAAATTATCAAGGGTTCATGAGGGAGTGGGGAACGGGGAGGGAGGGGGGAAACTGAGGAGCAGCAGATGCCAGGGGCTTAAGTAGAGAGCAAATGTTTTGCGAATGATGAGGGCAATGAATGTACAAATGTGCTTTACACAATTGATGTATGTATGGATTGTGATAAGACTTGTATGAGCTCCTAATAAAATGATTTTTAAAAAACTGTAAAATCTTATTCAGTATATCTAGGTTAAAAATCCAAGTTCTCAGCAGGGGTCAAACCAGAATGCACTGGTTTAATGCACCGCATAGAACTGAAGTGAACTGTATAGCCAGGGCAAGAATCAATATTCTCTTCACAAAAGATGCTGCACGTCGTAAAGGTTCAGAGAATGGAGCCCCAGCTGGAACAGACGGTTACCAGGCTCGCTGCTGGCCCAGAAGGTGGAGGTTCATGTCCACCCAGGGGCCACTGAAAACCCAATGGTGCCCAGGGGACTCTGAGACACAAAGGTCCACAGGAGTCAGAATCGACTGGCTAGCAACTGATGGGGGGGTGGCGGGGGGCACCCACTACACAGAAGATGACTCACAAATGCTCAGGGTGCTGGCACACCCGTTATGCAGTAGACAGTGTACAAATGTTTGCCGAGCTACTGGTGTCCATGCCCGCGGACTGGTCCTTTGTTCTCAGCTCATGAACCCGGGGACATCTCTCTGACTGGCAGTGACAGGGTTTCTCTCCTTCCTGCAGTGGGCAGAGGAAGGTAGTGTGCGTGGGTATTTCTTGAAGGAGGAAGCATGCTGGACTCTAGAAAAAGCCCTGCCTGTGGCGTGGAAGTGCAGTGTTGGGCGGTGCCTTCCGCGAGCATTCACAGAGGGAGGGGTAGCGCTCGTTCATTCTTCTCTCCACCTGCTGGTGCAGCCGAAAGGACCCAGGTGGGCCAATCTGAGTGTGCCGAGCCGCTGTGAGCTTTGTCTCCTAATGCCAGCTGCCTCTTCCACCCCCCAGGCTTTCCCCGGGAACATCAACTCGGATGGCGTGGTCCGGCATGACCTGCAGTACCCACTGACCGCCCGATACGTACGTCTGGTGCCCCTGGACTGGAACGCAGAGGGTCGCATTGGGCTGCGAGCTGAGGTCTACGGCTGCTCTTACTGTGAGTCTCTCTCTCTCTCTCTGCACCTGCATCATCATTGCCCGCCTCTGCCAGGAGGGTGCCACCTTAGCCTGAACTAAGATGAAGTGTAAGGTTGTTTCATTACACACCTGAAATGAATGTTACACGGGCACCCTCACACAGAGGCACTCAAGCACACACACCGATAGGCACACACACACAGACCAAGGAAAACACACACGCAAGGACACTTTAAGCACACCTCAAGTCAGAGATTCAGTGCTTAACTCCTGTTCACCAGGCAAACTGAGTAAGTCACCTGGAGGCGTAGGGACTATTGAACAGGAGCACCCTCGGGCTGAGGTCGATAGGTGAGGGCCCTGCTATTGTGTGCCCGGGTAACGCGCTGCCCACGTTCACCCTGTTCTTGCCATTGGCCCCAGGATGGGAACAGCAACATGAAAGGAGAGGTTTTTCTCCGCGTGGTGTGTGTGCAGCCTGGGACCTGAGTCTAGATCACGCTCCTCTTGCGGGCCACGGTGTGTACGACTGGCTGCTCACAATGGTCAGGGTGGCGCCGGCTGGCGGGAGTTCTGTTCTGTTGTATGTCAGGTGGCTGAGAGTTGCAGCTGACGCGATGCCACCTAGCAACAACATAGCAAGGGCTTGCCCAGCCGTCCAGAAATACCACCTGGCATCGCTCAGAACGGAGAAGAAGCAGACAGACACTGATAAGAAAAGCTGGCCATCAGTCTACTGGTAAAAAGGATGACAAAGTAGTGAAAGCAAAATTTGCACAAAGGCGCTGAAGCTCAGAGGGCAGAGAGGGCAGAAAGGTGCTGGTGCAGACAACCCTGTGCTACTTCCTGCTCCTTGACCCACAGCGCCACCCGAGGTCAACCCAAGACCCATCCACACCCCAAAATCACAGGCCATACAACTGCTCAACAGTGAAACATTACAAACTTGATTTCAGACATAGTAGAGTCATCATTCACTGTTTTAAACCAGGGGTCCTCAAACTACGGCCCACGGGCCATATACGGCCCGCCAAGGACATTTATCCGGCCTGCTGAATGCTTTTGCTACCACTGCCTGTCCTTTCTAGCAGCTGACTCGTCCAGTATGCATGGGAATTTATTCATAGTTTTTTTAAAAAACTACAGTCCGGCTCTCCAATGGTCTGAGGGACAGTGAACTGGCCCCCTGTTTAAAAAGTGTGAGGACCCCTGTTTTAAACCTTCAGGCCAACAGGATCATAAAATGTATCTTGTGTCTTGTATCTGCACCCTTGTGGTCGAAAGGATGTTTGCAAAGGTCGTGTACTTACTTACTGGAGGCATTTGCTTGTCCGCGTTCATAGGTGTTATAGAAATATTCTCTGATCACTTGCCCGTTCTCATGGTAATGGTCACCTGCGTTGTCTCCAGATTTGGTCTACTCTGATCCAATCGCTATAAACAGGTGTGATGAATGCGGACCCAGGAAGGGATGTATGTTCGGCATTCGTCTAGACTGGAACAGTGTTTCTGGAAGGCTGTATCCATTCAGGCTCTCACGGCAATGCATCAGCATTCCTGTAGCTCCCTGAATTCACTAACATTTTGGTAGCATCTCCTTGAATATGTTAGCCATCCTGGTGGGTGTTGCTTTATAATTCCTGCCAGTTGAAATGCTCCGTTTTTCTGATTTCTACAGATGTTATGCTAATTGTCATGTGGGTATCCTCATTTTGAAATGGTTACTTAAAAAGTCATCCTATGTTTCTATTTTGTCTTCTAATTGGTTTGCATGTTTTTTTTAACTGCCAATTCCTTGCCTGCGTTCTTTCCATTCCAATGATGCCATTTGGACATGCATCTGATTTTTGACGTAGGTTCCTTTCAGGGGTGGAGCCCCGGGCCACGTGTTGGACTACTGTCCACAATATCAGCAGTTTAAACCCGCCAACTGCTGCTCCAGAGAAAGATGAGGCTGTCAGTTCTCTTCAAGATTTGCAGGCACAGAAACCCTAAGGAACAGTCAGTCTGGTAGAGTCACTGGACCTTGGAATTGACTCAAGATACAGTTGCTGCATTTTTTTTTTCTTTCAAGAAAACAGTTGTAGAGACCAAGCTGTTGAGGAGGTCGCTCCAGAAGGACTGCCTGACCTGTCCTCTCCACTCAGGTGTCCTTAAACATGACCAGGGGTTCTCCCCTCTGAAAGCAGAGTGTGAGGCTGCTTCAGGAAAAAACAAGGTTTTGTGGTGGACCCCAGGTACGGGCAACCACGGCAGGGGGAACAGCACCCGAATCAAAGGTGGAGTCTGTCTGCGCAGGTGTCAGCACCTCGGGGGGGAGGGGCCGAGCACGGGGGACCAGCCCTATGGAGCAGCTCTGCTCGGTCTCACAGGGTCATCGTGAGTCAGAATCGATGTGGCGCACTGGGTCCCTTAGGGAGCCCTGCTTGCTTGGTTGTTTTATCACTTGGGTCTATGCAAAAAGGCCCGTGGTCGGAGTAGTGGCTTCTCTGCGGAGGCCTGGTGTGCCCGTCTCTTTCTGAAAGCCTGTCCCATGAGCTGCATGCTACTCGGTGCAGCATGTTGAATGGGATTTCTTTGGGATTATTTGAATTTCAATAACTACGGGTGGCTAGGTGGTCATCATATGGAAACCGGCACTTTCTAGAATCTAAACACCTCTGTCTCAGTCTCCCCTTGCTTCTCCTTCATAATCTAAGCAGCCCAATAGGAGACATGCCTTCCTCCACTTGTTCCTTCATTCCTGCATTTAAACCCGTCTGTGGTGCATTGCCCTTAGTCTGCACTAGAATAATTTCACCATCCTGGTGATTCCACACTGTCAGTATCTCCCAGCTAGCCATCTCCCTGACCACACCAAATGCCCGCGGTGGAACATTTCTCATCTGTCCACTTTTGAAGAAAGAAAATAACATTCATCTCTTTTCCAAATATGCACACACAATCATACACACACACACACGCCTACATACACACTTACAGGAAGAGAAAGATCATGCTGAACCTATTTGTCATGGACACTTTTCAGAAAGTTGGTTGATCTCAGTTGGCCTCTCCTGGGCATGGTGAGGGAGGGGTGGGTCCACGGGAGGATGGAGGGGCCTCTTCAGATGGGCAGAGCCCTTCACTGCCATCTGCCATCAGAGGTGGGGAGCAGCAGGGGCCCTGGGAAGGGAGCTGGAACAACCAGAGACGTCCTCATCTTCCTGGGATCCTGAAGGGGGCGCAGCTGAGAGGCATCTTGGGCCAGAGCTCAGTGGGTAGAGGTGAGCATCAGTAACGTTGAAGTCTATGGGAGGGAGAAGTCTCTGCTGTCGGGGAATGGGGGCTCGGGACCCCTCTTGCATGGAGCTACATTTGTGCTGTCCATCCACAACCAGGGGTGTTGAGGGTGGCCATCAGGGCTGGGAAAGTGACTCTCACTCTGCCTGGGGGAGATGTGTCGGGTCTGTGGAAGGTGGCCATCAGGGCTAGGGTGGGGGGAGAAGTGCAGTTCCAGGGGCCGCTGAGGCTCTGTGGTCAATCCAGCGTGCACCCCAGCGCCCAGGCCTCGGAATGCGTTTTCAGTTTGTTGGCTACCCCTGCTGTTGGTTTTCCTCCCGTCCAGCTGACACAAGCTGTTTCTGTAATGAACACTAACAATATAGATAGGGCCTCCCCAGGGCACACTGAGGGGGCCCCTCCTGGAGCTTTGCTGGCCCACTTCCAGGCAAGCCCAGGGGCCAGAGGGCAACATCACTGCCCCCACAACTGCCGATGGAAGGCTCAACATTATCTTCAGAAACCAAGCCCGGGCAACAGAGATGTCACAATGAGCCAACCTCTCTGAGAACCAGCTCAGCCCTCCCAGCGAAGGGGACCTCTACCTGTGATGGCCGTCTGGTTGGCTCTGTCATGAGCCTAGCTGGTCACCACCGCAGAGGCTGACCAGGTGGCGCAGTGGTGGGATGCCTGCTGCTAACAGAGAAGCCTAGCAGTTCTAGTCTGCCAACCCCTCTGGGAGAAGAGCCCCAGCAACCAGTCCTGTCAAACCCTCGGCCTTGAGGACCCCGTGGCAGTGTGGTCACTGTGAGTCAGAGGTGTTTCCATGGCACCCACCAGTGGCCACCACACCGTCCCCCAGAAAACCACAGCGGTGGTCGGAGGCCTGAGAGACATGTTCCAGAAGAAAGTGGGGTGTGGCTGCACCTCGTCTTTTCCAGCCTGCACATGGCAGGTCTGCACCCTCCCATGGGACCACAGATGCCCAGCTCTCCCCAGGGGTCTGCCAGGGTGGATGGGCCACTCTTTGAAGGACGTCTGTTTACATCTGTTGACCTGGGCTAGAAAGAAAGGATCCTTCAAGAGTTCAGCCAATGTGCTCTTCTTCAACCCGCTGGATCATTTTGAATGGGCCTGGTCATTATCACCCCGCACTGCCATCCGGTCAGCTCTGGTGACCCTGAGGGGCAGGCAGAACTGCCCTTGTGGGTTTCCAGGACCTTAGCTCTTTATAGGAGGAGAAGGGAGGCTAGTCTGTCCATGCATCTTTGGGGCAGCCTGCCTACCAGCACTGGGAAGGAGGTTCTTGCCCACCTCTATTCTCCAAGAGCAGAGCGCTGGGTGGAGAGATGGGCAGTAGGCAGGCTCATCCTCTGTGGTGGCAGAGCACTGGGGGAGCCCTCTCACCTGGGTCAGGAATGGGTGACATGTTGCCTACCACCCAGAGAAGAGTTTGAACGTAGGAGGAAGGCAGGGGCACACTGGCCAGAAAGGCTTTTGTGAAGCTATGGAGGTGTGAAAGCACGTGGCCGTGGCCTCCCGTACCAGCAGGAACCACCACGGGGTAATTGGTGGACGGAGAATCTTGGTGGCCCCTCGTGGGTCAGAACAGAATGACAGGCCTTCTGTGGCTGGTTTTGGGAATCCGATCTGAGCCACCAACCATCCCGTAAATAGCCTCGTGCTTAAGCGCTGTGCCACCACTGCCCCATGTATAGGAAGATGAAATGGAGTAGGGGCTAGGACAAAGATGACCGG